AGGGAGATCATCATGCTGGAGATGAAACATCAAGACACATGCCACCTGCCAACCATTTTAGATAATTGATTTTATAACTTCAGAAAGATTTCTAACAAGCATTTAGCAGATATGATAACTTAAATGAATTCTTTGAGAAACTGCTTTATGACTCTTGAGGTTTTATGGTGCGACGTGCACATACACAGAATGTTTTGTAAGGGAGAAAAAAAAAATAAAAAAAATCAACTACTAACGAGATAGCTAATGGGAAAGAACATATTGAATTCAAAGAGCACCTTGGAACATATCTAAACGAGTTTCAGACTGAAATTAGGTTAAAAAGGAATTTAGCCGCTTATTCAATGGAAGTGACCAAGCCGAACAAGGATCCATGTTAACCAGTGCGCACAATACCCACCAAAACCAATCAGTATAGTTAGCACTATCTAAACAATGTTTCCAAGTCGATCTTGCTCCTTGAATGAAGCATCCCTCACCTTATCAAAATATAGAATGTTTGGAACAGGGAAAGTGAACTACTCCTTACTGTATTATCACCTTGCTTCTTGTTCCCTGTCCTATGAAATATGTGCTTAGAATTAATTGTTTACTTTTGAATCATATTTTTAGCAACTTTTTTTAGTTAAAACAAACAAGGGCTTAATGAGACATCCCTAGCCAAATTCAAAAAATTATTGTAAATTTCTTTTCTAGATCATTTCTTCTATTTCTACCTCATCGTGAAGGATTTATAATTGGTTCTGTTAGTCCTGAAGTATAAGTTTCCCCTTCAAACAATCCGAAAGAATTTTCGTAACAGTAATATAGAAATTTAAATTCGAACCCATCGATTTCACGATATTTCCTTAAAACGAATTTGCTGCCTTTAACGGTGCTAAAGGTGTCCAACAATCGTTTCCCAAGATAGAACGAATTTCGTCTCCCATGGAAGTAGCACAGAAATTTGCAGGAGTTCTAACGAACGCAACGAAGTGTTTTTACTTCGAAAATAATATCAGAACAAGAGGGAAAATGAGATTCAAAGCAGAGAAAATTTGCAATGAAAATAGTGTAATTTTTCTGGCAGCAGGACAGGCTATTTATAGACTTGTTTGTGACCATTCGAACATCCTTCAGAACAATCGTCACTGTTCAAACAGCCTCTAAAACTCCAACAGATATGTTAGTTCAATACTGCGTCTGTTAAGTTGGTTAACAGTCGACTGTTTGGTCGACTAACAGTCGACTGTTTAACAAACCATCAAAACAAAAATTTACCCAGAAAAAGCCAATGAAAAAAATAAATTTTATTAAGTACCCAAGAATTTGATTGTATACAATTTGGTCCAAAAATTCAAATAAATTTTGTTCAAAAAATTAATATAGTGCAAGGACGCACCCGCATCGAACCAGACTCGGGTACGTGCTCGTGCTCGTGCCGAGCCGAGCTGAGCCGGCCGGTTGGACGGTGACAGCGTGCGGGCATGTGGGCTTATGACCGAACCCGATAGGATATAGGTTTCCCCCCTTTCAAAAACCATTGATACCCCTTGGGGCTCAAACCCAATTCCCAAACTTGCACCATATAAACCACACAAAAGTTTCATAACTTTCCTATATGGGATAAGTGTTTAGGCAAATCAAATTCTTCACTAATTCATAATTTCAAGTGGGTTGCTTTGATATTAAATATTTCATTCAATTCTAAATGATTTTCGATAAATAAATATACCACATTCATCACCTTGCGGAGTAGAGCATGAATATGCTAGGTCCTGTATTAATTAAGATGTGGATCCCACTGAAATTTGGGTCCAAAGTTGACCAATTTCATACCATTTTCTAACAATCCCCCACATGAATAAAATATGTCGGCTTTTTCCAAACAACATCTGATATATTTTTCTGAAAAAAATTGAAGAAAACTTCATCAAGATAAGTAGCCAAAGACTTTGAACTTTCTCTAATAAAATCTATCGGATTTACTTAGCCTATCAGTAGCAAGTTGCTTTAAACAGTCAGCCGTTCATGTAAAACTAGACAATAAAAGTCACGTAGTTTTCTTCGAACACAGTTGGTTCTCACGTTTGTGTCCATTTTGGCCGTAGACACCTCCTGGTTCATAAGTGTTTTTTAGAGAATTCATCTTCATCTAATTCTCTTAGAAGCAGCCCCTTCTCACCCACATAGGTGATTTCCATAAAGAGTATTCTGCTATACTCCACTTGAACGAATCAAGATATGGAAACCATTAAAAGCGTAACTTAACCTATTTCGCGGCAGTTTGGCACTGGCTCATTATAAGAATTGGTAAGAGTGATAATCTCCCCAGTGATTACTAAGTTTTTCACAGTTCGATTGTCCCATTGAACCTAAATCTTGAGATCTCCAGTCAACTAGGTTGGGTTGCCACCATGGAAACTTTTAATTATTTTATCGGTTTTAATCCCATCCCCTTCGATGAACTTTCAACTTGCCCTCTTGTTAAACTTTTAGTTAGCGGATCCGCATTATTCTCTTTTGATTTCACATAATTTATATTGATAATGCCAGTAGAGAGCAATTGTCGGACGGTATTGTGTCTACAACGTATATATCGAGACTTACCGTTATACATAGCATTATGTGCCCTACCAATTGCTGATTGACTATCGCAATGGATACATATAGCAGGCACAGATTTTATCCAACATGGAATATCTTCTAGAAAGTTTCGTAGCCATTCAGCTTCTTCTCCAGCTTTATCTAACGCGATAAATTCAGATTCTATCGTTGATCTAGCTATACATGTTTGTTTTGAAGATTTCTATGATACCGCAGCACCTCCAAGTGTAAAGACATATCCACTTGTTGACTTGGAGTCTTTAGTATCTGATATCCAATTTGCATCACAGTATTATTCGAGTACTACTGGATATCTCGAATAGTTCAATCCAAAGTTTTTGGTATGTTTTAAATACCCTAAAACCCTAATAATTGTCTTCCAGTGATCAGCGCTTGAATTGCTTGTATATCGACTTAGCCTACTAATTGAATCAGCAATATCTGGTCGAGTACAATTCATGATATATATTAAACTACCAATAATTCGAGAGTATTCCAATTGAAACTTACAGCCACCAATATTGGAAACAAGATGCATATTGGCATTCATAGGTGTTTTCATAGGAATAATATCATATTTCTTGAGTTTATTAAGAATCCTCTCAATGTAGTGTGATTGAGACAATATGATACCATTGGATGTTCTAGAGATTTTAATTCCTAATATAATATCGGCCACACCTAAACCCTTCATTTCAAATTTGTTTGTTAGCATCCATTTGTAGCTTGAATTATGGTATCATTCTTACCCATAATTAACATGTCATCTACATATAAACATACCATGACATATCCATTTTGAGTGCTCTTGACATAAACACATTTGTCACACTCATTAATTTTGAAACCATTTGACATCATAACTGTGTCAAATTTTTCATATCATTTTTTAGGAACTTGCTTTAATCCATAAAGTGATTTAACAAGTTGACACACTTTCTTTTCTTTCCCTGAGGCGACAAATCCTTCAGGTTGCTCCATATAAATTTCTTCATCTAACTCTCTATTCAGGAAAGTTGTTTTAACATCCATTTGATATATATCCAAACCTTTCAACACTGCTATCACAATAAGTATACGTATGGAAGTGATTCTTGTCACAGGAGAATAGGTATCGAAATAATCAAGACTTTCTTTTTGCTTGTAACCTTTAGCGATAAGTCTAGCCTTATATTTATCAATTGATCCATCTACTTTCATTTTCCTTTTGAAAATCCATTTACATCCCAATGACTTATTACTGGGAGGAAGGTCTACTAATTTCCATGTATGATTTTGTAGTATGAATTCAATTTCACTATTAACAGCTTCTTTCCAATATGAAGTTTCGGTTGATGACATAGTTTCTTTAAAGTTTTGAGGTTCATTTTCTAACAAATATGTTAGAAAGTCAGGCCTAAAGGAAGTTGACGTCCTAACCCTCTTACCGCGTTTAGGTTGTTCATTTATAGGTTCTTGATCTATAGCCCCCTCATTTTCACGAGATCTCTTCTGTGAATTTGATTCACTTTGCATGTAATAAGGAAAAAGTTTTTCAAAAAATGTAGCATCCCTTGATTCAATAATCGTATTAACATGCACATCAGGTATTTCAGACTTGTGTACCATAAATCTGTATGTATTACTATGGTAAGCATAACCAATGAATACACAATCAATGGCTTTAGGTCCTATCTTAACCCTTTTAGGTTTAGGAACTACTACTTTGGCCAAACATCCCCATACCTTTAAGTATTTATAATTAGGTTTGTGACATTTCCATACTTCATAAGGTATCTTATGCGTTTTTCGATGTGGTAATTTGTTAAGAAGATAATTGGTAGAAAGCAAAGCTTCCCCCCACAAGTTCTGCGGTAATCTAGAACTTATCAACATAGTATTCATCATCTCTTTCAATGTTTGGTTCTTGCGTTCAGCAATACCATTGGATTGAGGAGAATAAGGTACTGTAGTTTGATGAATAATTCCGTGTTCTGAACAGAATTGTTCAAATGGAGACTAATATTCGCCCCCTCTATCACTTCTTATAGTCTTAATCTTTTTACTATGTTGATTTTCAACTTCCAACTTGTAATATTTAAACACTTCAATTGTTTCGTTTTTACTTTTAAGTAAATACACATAGCAATATTGAGTGCAATAATTGATAAAAGTAATAAAGTACTTATTACCTCCTCTTGTTTGAACAAATTTTAGATCACATATGTCAATGTGAATTAAATCTAGAGGTTCGGTACTTCTTTCAACAGAACGAAAGGGTAAACGTGTCATTTTGGCTTCTACACATATATCGCATTTGTGATTAGGATTTAAATCGTACTTTGGTAATAAATCCAATTTGATTAGTCTACGCAAAGTATTATAATTTGTATATCCTAATCGTTCATGCCAAATATTAAACGACTCAAGCAAGTAAGAAGAACAAGTATTTTTATTCATAATCAGAAGTATAACAGTCATTACATTCAACTTAAAGAGCCCCTCATTCAGGTAGCCCTTTTCTACAAACATTTCATTCTTCGTAAGTACAAATTTGTCTGAAATGAATACTAGTTTAAACCCATTCTTACTTAATAGGGAACCCGATACCAAATTCTTTCGAATATCGGACACATGAAGAACGTTATTCAAAGTGAGCTCCTTTCCACTTGTCATTTTCAGCACAATCTTTCCATGTCCTTCAACCTTGGAAAATGATGAGTTTCCCATGTATAGTTGTTCATCATGTTCCATTGTTTTGTAGGTAGAGAACATCCCGCGGTTTGAGCATATGTGACAAGTAGCTCCAGTATCCACCCACAATTCCTTAGTATTTCCAACTAAGTTGCATTCAGAGACGACCGCAGAAAGATTTATTTCTTGTACTTTATCGTAAAGGTTGTCATGTTCTATTACATTTGCCTGGTGAGGTTTTCCCTTGACATTTTTTGGCTTTCAACAGTCCTTGGATCAGTGTCCTGCTTTGCTGCAATTGTAACAATTGCCCTTGAACTTTTTAGTAGGTTTTGAAGAACTGGTTTGCCCTTCGCCATTGTGCTTCCTCTTTTTGTTAGTCTTTAAACCTCCTTCCACAATGTTGACTTTTGATTCCATCGAATGAGATGCACCACTCCTCTTTTCAGATTTGCGATTGTCTTCTTCTATTCTTAACCGAATAATGATATTTTCAAGTTTCATTTCCTTCTGCTTATGTTTTAGATAATTTTTGAAGTCCTTCCAAGAAGACGGTAATTTCTCAATCAGTGTAGCAAATTGAAATGATTCACTTAGTTTCATTCTTTCGGCATAGATGTCGCTGAGTATGATTTGAAGTTCTTGAACTTGGGATATGATAGTCTTGCTTTCAATCATTTTATAATCCAAAAAATAACCGACAATGAATTTCTTTGTGCCAGCATCTTTGGTTTTGTACTTTGTGTCCAAAGATTCCCACAATTCTTTGGCAGACTTCGCATTGCAGTACACATTATATAATGTGTTATCTAGTCCGTTGAGTACATAATTTCTGCACAAGAAATCGGAATACTTCCATGCATCAACCGCAGCCAATTTCTCATCGTCACTTTCTTGCTCGGTGTATGAAGGCGAATCTCTTTGAGAAATTTTGCCAAACTTAATGTTGTCAAATAAAAAAAGCATTTTCTGTTGCCAACACTTAAAATCTGACCCATTAAATTTCTCTGATTTTTCTTCGATCGTATTCGGGAGTATAGTACCAGAAGTTGCCATTTCTGAAACACAATCACAAGATAATCAATAAGAAGGAGTAGAAATAGAATGATCCAGAAAAGCAAAAAATTCTTTTTAAAATTGTTAGTCCTGGAGTATAAGTTTTCCCTTCAAACAATCCGAAAGAATTTTCGTAATAGTATTATAGAAATTTAAATTCGGTACCACCGATTTCACGATATTTACTTAAAACGAATTTGCTGCCTTCAACGGTGCTAAAGATGTCCAGCAATCGTTAGTTTTCTAGGATAGAACGAATATCGTCTCCTATGGAAGTAACACAGCAATCTGTAGGAGTTCTAACAAACGCAACGAAGTGTTTTTACTTCGAAAACAATATCAGAACGAGAGGGAGAATGAGATTCAAAGCAGAGAAAATTTGCAATGAAAATGGTGTAATTTTTCCAACAGCAGGGCAGGCTATTTATAGACTTGTTCGTAACCATTCGAACATCCTCCAGAACAGTCGTCATTGTTCAGACAGCCTCCAAAACTTCAACAGACATGTTAGTTCAATACTGCGTCTGTTAAGTTGGTTAACGATCGACGGTTAACAATCAACTGTTTGGTCGATTAACAGTCGACTGTTTAACAAACCATCCAAACAAAAAATTACATTAAGTATCCAAGAATTTGATTGTATACAATTTAGTCCAAAAATTCAAATAAATTTTGTCCAAAAAATTAATATAGTGCATGGACGCAGCCGCACCGAACCGGACTCGGACACAGGCACGTGCTCGTGCCGAGCAAGCCGGTCGGACGGACGGCGGCAGCGGCGCCCACGCATGTGGACTTATGACCGAACCCGATAAGATATAGGTCTCCCCCTTCCAAAAACTATTGGTACCCCTTGGAGCCCAAACCCAATTCCCAAACTTTCACCATATAAATCACACCAAAGTTTCATAACTTTCCTATGTGAAATAAGTGTTTGGGCAAATCAAATTCTTCACTAACTTATAGTTTCAAGTGGGTTACTTTGACATTAAATATTTCATTCAATTCTAAATGGTTTTCGATAAATAAATATACCACATTCATCACCTTGCCGAGTAGAGCATGAATATGCTAGGTCCCGTATTAATTAAGATGTGGGTCCCATTGAAATTTGGGTCCAAAGTTGCCCCATGTCATACCATTTTCTAACAGGTTCTTCGCTAGTTAGCTTTGAAACTATGTTTGGATTGATTAGACAATGAAGGTTTTTCAAAGAGGCTACAAAATTTGACCGAGATTCCCACTAATTGAACATTAGAAGTAGATCTACTAGAAATAAAACTCTGAAGCAACAATTCTATAAGCATCCGTTTAGCTGGACCAAAGAGCCAAAATACTTTGCACAGCGCTTAAAAAGGAAAAAAAATCCCTGTTTGACTAGCAACACTTGCCAAGAGAGAACTAAGAAGATCATAAATCCATTTCATAACTTATCTCCCGTATTCTCATTTCTGAAGAAGCATTATCATATCATCTCTTTGCAGTCATTTTAATTACATTCAAAGTACAAAGAACTCGTTCCTCCACTAGTTACTCTCATCCTGATTCAGCAGAAAATGAGCACTACAACTTCATTAACTAAATCCCCGCTAGACTTCTTTTCTCTAGTCCTATAAGGCATTAATTTGGAAATTTACCCTGCGGAACCCTTATTGATAAGGTTTTGAGAAAAACAAACTCAAAAAACTTTCTCATCTGGTTTTTACTACTTTGGTGTAAGTAAGCCAGTAGACTTAAGATGTTACGGTATACTAACATAGTAATTTTCATATGATTATAAATACAAGACTTTTGAGAAGATAGTTCATGAAGTTTCCCTCTTAAGGGCATACAGTACAATTCTTATGTCTATTTATTCACCAGAAAATGAGCAGCACAACTTCATTAACTAAATCCCAGCTACACTCCTTTTCACTAGTGTTTTAAGGCATTGATTTAGAAATTTACCCTGTGGAACCCTTATTGTTAAGGTTGTGAGAAAAAAAAAACCCAAAAAACTCATCTGATTTTTACTAAGGTGTAGGCAAGCCAGTAGACTTAAGATGTCAAGGTATACTAACATAATAATTTTCAGATTGTTTTTTTCTTTTAAAAAGGCCTTTTGAGATGATAGTTCATGAAGTTTCCTGGTTAAGGACACACAGTGCACTTCTTATGTCTATTTATTCCGTTAAGTTGAAAGGTGAACAATGAAAAAACGCTGCAGCGGAAGAGCAACATTTGAAGCATAAGCTGCTTGACCTCAAGAATGGAAAATGAAGAAGAGAGTGCTGGAAACAATGGAGGGATGGAGAAGAAACCAAAAGAAAAATACTGCAGGATATGAATCAAAACCAAAAACTTGTAAGAATAAAATCGAAGGCCCGAACGCAGTATCGCTGTCCTCAAACGATATTTGGCCCCTCTCCAGATTGAATGAGATGCTTAAAATTTTGGCAAACGGTTTGTAGGATTATAACAAGCCTCGTAAACGATTTAGTACCAAAGCACAAGTACAATCCTCCAAAACTTTAAAAACACAAAGGAGAAGATGAGTATGAGAGAAATCGGTGTTTGATCTTTAATTTTGGAATAGGAATGAATCTCAAATGTTTTTTTTAATGTATTTTTGTCTTGAACATGGCTCCTCTATAAATAAGCCTCGGCCATATACACGAAATGGTGCCAAAAAATTCAAGAAACGCCACCAAAATCAGATTTGTAACGTTAAAAAATGACCTCCAACGGACAAAATAAATGTACCATGCGACCGCATGGTGTAATTCCATGCAGTCGCATACGCTTAATTTGCAGCCACCATTCCCATTTTTCATTCCATACTCAATTTGTTGGTTTTGAACAATCATTTCTCAACAGAGAGCTGTGGCATAATAATTAAATCTTTATTCACTTTGATTCAATTTCGTTGATCACATGTAAAATCTACTCTCCCATCTTAATGTAACATAACATTCCATACATCTAATTTAAAGCTGACAGACAAGTGATCAACTCAAAAACCTTTCACGAATATGATCTATCAATTGATTCGAGAAAAATATAATACTTATAGGAAGCAAATTACCGTCTTGGGGCCTATTCCTTTAAAATTAGAGAGCTCTGCCTTGATTTCCTCAACAGACAAATCTCTTAGATACTCCAAGCACAATTTTCCTTTTCTCTCGATCAAGCATTTCAGTATATTCTTTATACAAGAAGATTTTGTTGGTGCAAGACCTCCACATCTTATGGCATCCTCAAAGCACCGGGATTCGGCTGCTAGAACCTGAGAAATTTATATAACCACGCACCCAAAACAATGTCAAGAGGAGTTCAAAATATACTTCATTTGAACCTTTTAAATGCAAGAAAGGTAAATGAAGTAACAAATTAACCAATTCTAAAATATATGCATGATCATTCCAATACTTCAAAAACTGAATGTATATATAAAATGAAATCACTTCAAGTGCATTGAAGCCTAATTTCCATGCTCCAATAATTCAATGACGCACTAAAATTAAAAATTTCGCCCAATTCACAAATATTCATTAAGCCCAGAACAAAAACCCCTCCAAATACAAAGTGATATTATTTTTTTCGAAAAGCTTACATACGTCGTCCCAGGTAGGGAAAGCATTCTTGAGGGAAACAAAGGCCTTTCCGGAATTGACCTCCGTAGTATTTTGCGATAAAATGGTTTGTACTAAACCATCTAGCACAGTCTCTTTATTTTCACATATTTCTCCATTATTGATGCTTGAATTTTGTAGTCTTTGATTGCGGTATTTGATGAATTCTCTGGGGAAACCATGGAGGGACAAGAGATCATCCCGTACTGCTAGGCACTCTTCAGGGGTGGGTCGAGGGTAGTCGGGATATGGCTCTTGGATGGTGGCATTGACATTGTAGTCGGTGCTTTTTGGCGATTTGGTTGAGGATTTGAGCTGTGCTTGTTTTCTCTTACGGGATTTCTGCATTTTCTTGAGGCCTTTTAGATTGGCGATTACAAACCTCGTAGTTTTTAGCGAGAAATTTTATTACTTGACTTAATTGTCCCAATATCAAACACTGAATTTATCCGTGACACGTTATCGAAGTTTTAGACGTCGAGTTTTGACAATTAAATTTATCAAAATGTTGAACATTGCACGCTAACTTGATATCTGTTTCACAATTCTAATGAAATTGCTAACATGATAGATGGAATATACAAGTATCGCTATAGTTGTCAATAGATTGAATTTTGATTTGAATCCGATAAAATTAATAGGAGATGGATTTAGGGTTTCAATCCGATAACCCAATCGAGATCCAATAATCCTTTAACTAAATGAATCAAATATGAATATAGGTCAATCCGATCCGATAACAACCCGATCCGATTTATTATAATAATATATTATATATTTTTTATATTATCACATAATTTATGACACTGTTTTTTCCATTTTGAAATTGTATTATACTTTACACATAAATTTTAAATAATAAATAGTATTATATAATATTATAATATTTTTGATTGAAAATTTTGAAGAGATTTAATTTTTTTATTAATTAAAATAAGATACAACTAATAATTAATTTATTGATTAGATTTACTATAATAATTTGTTTTATAACATAAAAAACTAACAATTAATATGCCCAAAATAATTTATTTTGTTCAAATTGATATTGTTTATTATTAAAATCGTTTTGTGTCTATGATTTTTAATGAAAATAATAAAGTAAATTAGTTAACACTTAAAATTGACAAATGATTATGATTAGTATCCCATATTGAAATATCACAAAATCATTGGAAGAGGAGAGTCCTTTAAAAAAATAGTATCCCATATTAGAATATCACTAAAACATTTTAAGATGAGTCTCTTTTAAAAAGAAGTTAAAATGAGTATCATTTGAATAAAAAAAAATTTATTTGGGGTGTTTGAGCCACATTATTTTGGTAATAATGCATTATTGAATAGTGTATTGATGGAAAATGTGTGGTTAAAAAATAAGGAAATTTTTTTTATCTACGTGTAATATTATTTTATTGATGAATATGTGGTTGAAATGAGTCAAATCATTGTTTAAAAATGTATTTTTTTGAAATAATGTGGCTCAAACAATCCCATAATAAGTGAGTCCATCAAAATAGTTCAAATATTTTTTAAAATAAATAATTAATTAAAATCTCGTTGAGTCTATGATTTTTAATTAAAAAATAAATAAAATTTTTATTTTTCTAATTTTTTTAATTTCGGATCGAGTTATTGGATCGGATATCCGATAAAACAACCAATTGGATTTGGATTTAACATTCAAATATCCTTTGAATTATCGGATGTGATCGAATAATTATTCTTAACGGATCGGATCGGATTTGCTCAAATCCGATCCATTGATAGCCCTACATATCACACAAATACCGTTATGCGACCAACCAGGCACACCAAATTGCCACGTAAGAAAGATTTTTTATTGTTCACTATACTTTTAAGAACGTCATTGATTGCTTTGTATAATTTAAAGTGATCGAGTTTTGACCATTAAAATCGTAAAATTTGACATCAACCTATTCTGAAAATTTAAAAATATTGTTCCAAGTATCACTTGTATAAAATAAAATTTAATTTTACAACAAGTTACAAGGGAATATTTCAAGACATTTTGCAGTTTACTTGAGTTATATTGCAGTTCTTTCCATATTTGATCTACATTCGAAACTAAATGTTCTAAGAGAAAATCGAGAATAGGACATTACACATTATATCGGTTGCAGTTAACTTGGACAATCTACAGTTTGCCGAGACAAGCCAGTATAATGCAATCCTTATACTAAAGGTAAGGGCTCATAAGTAACTTCTTACATTAGAAGAATGCCAATGACTAATTGTTGGAACCTCAAATGCTGCTCGTTTGGTGATGACAACAAAGCTCACAGGTAGTTCGCTTGGCAATGATTTTGCTAGATGAATACAATTCTAGTGGTTCTATGGACGATATCAGCAAAGAGCGCTCTCTTTTGGTAGAGCCATTAGCACTACGAGATTGTGATCCAAATAGGTTGAACATCAATTGCCATTATAATCTATATCTCATCTTATGAGCGTATTAACTCTATCCTTAGAGAATTTTATAAAAAGTCTTAAAAAGTAATTGAATTTTTAATGCTAATGACTATTAGAAAGTCATCATTTCAATATCCGAGATTTTAATAACTTTCTACCAGACTATATTAAATATCAAAACTTTTAGAATAATGTTATTTAGCCCTGATGAGATTAAAACACCGGTACATGTTGTACTTGTGACGCTAATGTGACTTTATATAATAAGTACAATTAAATGAATAATTTAATTTCACTTTCATGTAATCTATCATCTAACACCACCTAAATTTGTGTTATAATTATACTGGAGTTAAATAGCATTTTTAAAACTTTTATGAAATCTTAAAAAGTCTATATTGAATTTTATTATTTTGTTTGTCTTAGCCAAGGGATGTGCTTTTTGGATGCTTTGGATAAGATTGGATCCACTTCGGATGCTTCTTTATACATCAACAATGCCAACTACATATTGCAAAATTTAAGAACAAAACTCTTTAAAGTAATTGTTTTAACGAACTTACATTGACCAAAAGCAATGTCTTGAACAAACCTAACTAAGCATATCACATTTGACTTGTATCAATCATACAATTGAAAGCAACAAAATCTTCAACTATAATATCAACAAAATTTACAAATAAATCCTAAATAATTACCCCCAAAAAAAAAAGACTCGAAAACAACAACTAGTCTGATTCACCCCACACTCCATCAAAGTTTCGCAGTCCTCCTTATTCTCCTTGATCGTTACCTTCAACACCATCGAACTCAATCCTTCCAACTCTCCCGCTCACTCCCCCCCTCTCGACAACCTCCCATAACACCTCCCATTGCCCTCCTTGGGCGATCGACCCCTTAAGAGTCAAACTTATACAAAGAAATTGTCTCAACCTAGCACAACATTAACTCTTCAACTAGTATATACACATGAATCCTAAACTATAAACAAGTGTTTTGGGATGGGATTGGATTAGGAGTTTAGGACCCCAAACAAAAAAGTGGAAAAAATAATCAAAAGCTAAGCATGAATATTGACTTCCTTCACAAAATTACTAACAATTACACAAATTATTCATGAAATTCCAATTCAGAAATCAGTAGAGCTGGGACCTGCATTCCCACCATCTCGGTACCTCGCCCGACTCGCCTGACCCTTCATCACAGCTTCCCAGTCAACCTCGTCCCGGTCGTCCTCCTCGTCTCGTCCCCTCAATACCTCCAAAATCCTTTGACCCTTCTCTCTTGCACGCTCGCTCCCCATCTTCACAACCTCCCGTAGAACCTCGCTCAACTTCGCTTCCCTCGCCAGCCCCTTGAACCTCAAACTTCCATGACTCAAAGAGTATAGAGCCGCGATACAATTCTCTCGAATCGACTCAGAGTCCAACTTGTTCCCATTCCTCAACATCTCCACTAAGCACTCCACCGCATTGGCATCCAACAACGCTGACTGGCCTTCCGGGCATGCTGCCAAGTTGCACACCACCAGCACCACCCGCCCTGCCACCACCGGATCCTTCAACATACCCAACAGTGCCCTGATGGCTCCAAGCTTAATTATCTTCACCCTATTGCTCTGCATCAATGTCAAGTGATACAGCGCCAGGGCGGCATCGTGGCGGCTCCGCTGGCTGCCGGATCTCAAAACGTGCAACAGCGGCTGCAGCGCCCCCAGCACTCCTATTACAGTCTTATTCTCATCTTCGAGCGCCAAGCTGAAAATCGCACCGGCAGCATGTTCTTGTGATTCTTCAAAACCATTCTTTAAAATCTCTATCAACAGTGGAACAATCCCAGCTCTTACAATCTTGATTTTGTTCATTTTCGCAAGTGAAAGATTCACCAGCGCCGCTACGGCGTTGATTTGCACGTCGGAGTACCGTGAATTCAACAATTGCCTCAAAGCAAACAAAAGCCTTTCAGTGCATAGAGCAATTCGAGCTTCTTCACTACTCTTTGTGGTTTTTCGCAACAAAATCACTACTTGTTCTTGATCAAAAACATCCAAACTCGTCATTTTGTTCACAAAATTCTCATCCTCCGACGAAGAAGTCGTTGGAATATTATCCGACACAGCATCGGAGATAAATTCCGACGTAGTCGAGGTCGAAGACGAATACGAAATGCAAGAGGGCTTTGTTGTAAACGGTAAGTAAGGGGAAACATTTGCAATCACAGATTCTTCGGAGCTGGAGGAGTAAAAATTGCGATGATTCAATTCCGTAGCCGCATGTGAGAATAAAACCCTAGGATTTTCCTCAACTCCCTTCAACAATTCCCTTTCTGAAACCCTAAATCTTTGACTCGCCGCCATCAGAGAGCTAACAATGGACTCAATTTCCGAATACTCCGGCGGGTTCGGAGGCTCCGAATCGGATTTCTTACACCAGTTATGGATAGTACTCTTTAGAGCTAGATTGGGTATTACACTCGAGAAATCGGGTTCGGAGCCGTCTTGGAGCTTGGGCGTGAAACCCAAACCTCTACAGACTTGCACAGTTAATCGCTCGAAGGTTTGGCCTGAGGAAACAACGACGGGATCCGACATTAAGGAGTTGAAAATCGGGCAGAGGAATTCAGTGGGTGGCGAATTTTTGGTCTCGGACTTGGAGGATTTGTGTATAGAGATTTTCCACCAGCTTAATTTGCCTTTTCCACCCATTTTGTGATCAAAATGTTAGGGTTTGGTAGAAGAAATAGCGTCTCTATGTTTGTATAAGTGAAGAAGAGAGACGGAGAAGGTGTGAGGTTGATCGTCTTACGTTGTTGTAGATGATGATGATGTTCTTCTTTGACTCGGTAATTGGCCAACAAGGGTCAAACTTTGAGGGTAACTTTTTATTTTTTAATCATTAATAATCCTAATAATCATTTTAATTACATTTCAGGGTCTTCAATTTCTGCACACTATAAGACTTTTGTTCATTACTTTTTCCAACTGTTCTTATACTTAGAGCATGTTTGGGAACGATTTTTTTATTCAAAAAATTTATTTTTTGACCGTTATTTCATTATTTTAATTTTTATATTTGACTTCTTCTCTTATAGGTGGATCCCACTCTTCTTCTAACGATCAAAAAATCAATTCTCAAAATCACTTCCAAACAGATTTTTAATCTTCAATTAATATATCTCGTGGAGTCTGACCAAATCGTTCATTTGGAGGACCAAAAATGACTTGTTCACATATCATATTAAAAAATAATAAATTTGAAGTGTGATAAAATATTTTTTTCCTTATTTCAAAGCTATTTCAACTGTACTTTTTGACTTCTTTACTCATAGGTAGTCCCCCACTTTTCTCTTAATAGTCAAAAATCAATTCTCAAAATAAATACCAAACAAGCCCTAAATTCAACCACTTACCAGTATGCACTACTCGTGACAAATGTTAATTTTATCGCCCCCACTTTTGGATTTTATAATATTACTTATCTATTATAAACTTGTCGAATGAGAAGATTAATGCTATTTTGCCAATAATATTAATACTTGTTTGCATTGTACATAGATTATTTTGTTCAAAAAATTTTGAAATACGTATTTATCCATTGGACAATTCCATTATCACGTAGAATGATACATACACTACTAAAACTAAATAACACTATTGATGAGTAAAAAATGTTCTCCAAGTCTATAATCATCAACACTCAAGATGAATAATATTACTATTGTACTCTTAATTATTCTGTTGCGTGTTGTCACACCTGTCCTATCCACCTGGGGCGATGACCCACTCATCCTGACCCACGTGGCATTCCTGCCGAGGTGGCACACATTGCCGAAGTGGGGTATATCCGAAGTGCTTCAAGTCAAGGTCCATCCGTCGAGGCTCCTCGATCCGATGTACTCTGCCGAAGTCCAACTACCGAGCCCCATGACCCGAATCATGGAACCTATTGAATTTAGCTGAGGTCCTCAAGTGGAAGTTTTTGTCATATGGTCGAAACCCCAAAGTTGATGCGCGAGCCTCTTAACCATAAGGAGCTTCCTCCACAGTCACTTCTCCGAAGAGATCGCCTGCTCAGAGATCTTATTCCAATGACTGATGGAACGTTTATCACAAGCATAAAGGTCAAGTCTTGTCACTAGTATGGAGGACCTGCGCAAGCAATAAATGCGCCGCAAGTTAGCAAGTCAAGCCCCATACCTAAGAAAAGACGTTTGAACTAAAGAGATGAGGCCACCTGCCACTTCATCCAAGGGCTCCCATTTCATATGTATCACTATAAATACTTTCATTGTGTAATGTTAAAAGCTAATGCAAGAATCAATATTAAAGACTACATTTACTCAACTCTCTCTCATTTACTTGCAATACACAAATCGAGTTTATACACTTTTACATATACATTTACGAGCAACGATTGGTAATTATTGTACAATCGAATTACGAACAACCCGCCGGATTCCGAATGTCACCGTCCCGCGTCGTTGGGCTACTCCCACGCCCCTTTGAACCGCTCGTTTTAGACCGTCCACGTGTCTTAGCGTGTTGGACATTCGCCCACGCAAGTGCGGGTGGGACCGGCATCTGTTGGCGCACTTTTTGGGGTCAACAGATTAACGCCGTCTGTGAAAAATCATACCATAACTACCAGCAACCTTGTGATAGAAGCTTACTGAAAAACATTTGGGCAACCCCCCTTGAAAAAGGATTTGTTCTTGAAAAAGAATAGGAGGAACCCCTATCACTTAGTGAAATCTAAGTCTGATAAAAGAAAAATGAGTTCTAACGAAAATACTCCCCCAATGAGGGTAAGAGAAAGCACGAATGTGCCTCCCCAACCTGCTGCCCCAACAACTCGGACGAGGCTCCACCATCACCAAAGGAGAGGTGGGATACGTGCGACAGCACGACTATCAAGAGAAATGGCTACCATGGCAGCCAACATGAGGGATATAGTCAACCAAAACTTGGCCACGAGTTCCCTCATGGCCCAAATGTAAGGCCAAGGAGGCTTCTCATTCCTCCATATGCCCCCCGCGGGCACTATTAGCAAGAGGACGAGGTCCAGAGTCATAGGGCTGCCTCGTCAGACTATGGCCGAGGTGAAAGCCCGTTCGAGAGGGAAGTGGGAGTCGACATTTCCTCCAACTTTGCATCTGGCCGACCCACCGAGGCCCAAATGAGCCATGATGACTTCCCACCTCCATATGAGCAAGACTCAAGACATAGGAGAGCAGGAAGTGTTTTTGACAGAATCAGCCCTGCCGAACCGAGGCCCAGTCAACAGCAGTCTCAGCAGCCTCCACCTCCGATGCCCCATCAGCCGGAGAGAAGGATGAAAATGCCCCCCGCGCTATCCCGCCTAGAAGTATGCCGCAGAGGAGGGAGGAGGAGGCTAGGAACCGGCCCGAACCCTCTAACCAACAACCAAGGTACGAGGCCGATGACTATGATTCTGACGAGTAGCAGAGGTCCTGCGACTTGGACGATGATGATGAGAACCTGCCATTCTCAAGAGAACTAAGAAATGCCCAGGTCCTGAGCCACTACATCATGCCAAAAATACCAAAGTATGATGGAAGAGATGACCCAGAAAAGCACCTCAATGCTTACAAAACTCACATGAGCCTGAGGGGCGCCACCCCAGCCGTGAAGTGCAGAGCATTCCATTTAACCCTCGGTGGAGCGGCTGAAATCTGGTATAGTAGGCTACCATCTGGGAGCATCCGAAGCTGGCCCGAGTTCAAGACAACCTTCTTGAAGAGGTTTGCAGTGAGCAAGGAAGGGGAGGCCCCCATCCAGCGTCTTCAAGACATGAGACAGGCGCATGGCGAGTCCTTGAAAAGCTTTCTATCCCGCTTCACCGACGAGATGACCTACTGCGTACAAGTAACCGACAGAGAAGCACTATCTGCATTGAGAGGAGGCTTGAACATGAACACTCTATTCTGGAGGGATGTGCAGAATCAAGACCGCACCACCTATGACGCCCTACTAGAGATGATGAGAAGGGAGATAATCAATGAAGAATTGATTGAGCATAGGAACGGGGCAAGCAGAGGCCTCCCACCTCCTCAAAGACAGCGAGGTAGGGGTCCGACCTCCCACCTCATGGACTACCAGATGAACCAAGCCGAAAATGAGAACTCCGGCCAAGCTCTGGCCACCACAACTCTGAACGCAGTTCCAACCTTGGCATATGAGGATGTCAACCCAACTGCTGACCCACATCAGATGGAGGCCCAGCAGGGACCCCGTAGAGGAAGAGGCCGGGGCCGAGGTTTTGCACCTAGAAACAGGTCCAATTCGAACCTCCCTGGATACTGTTTGCACCACAAGTCCTACGGGTACGACACCGCAGATTGCAGAGACTATGCACACCGCTCCCGATAGGAACCCGCCAGAGAAAGACATAACTCACCCCAGGCGAACAGGCCCCCGCCCAGGCAAGACAACCGACATGGGCGTGAGGCGGCCGCTCCTCGTCAAAGGGATGTATCCCCAAGGCGAAGAGAGCAAGACACAGAGAGGCCTAGGGAAGGGCGTAGACACCGAAGAAATAGGCAAGCTCAAGATGAGGCCCCTTTCCACGAGATAGATACCATATTTGGAGGCCCTTATGTTGGCGGTGAAATACGAAACGCCAAAAGAAACTATGCTAGGGAGGCTAAGCACCCCCCTCTGACGAGTTACATTGTGGACAATAGCTCTCGAAGAAACCAAGTACCACCTATTGTCTTCACCCAGGAAAACGCCGAAGGAGTTCATTACCCCCACTGTGATGCGCTGGTGGTGAGGGCTGTCGTAGCCCGAAATGGGCTCAAATGAATGGTAGTCGACAACGGCAGCTCCGTCAACATCCTATTCGGGTCCGCCTTTGACAAGATAATATTGGACCATCAATTGACGCCCACTACCACTCCATTGTACGAATTTACCGGAGATAGCATCACTCCGAGGGGAAAGATAACACTGGCAGTGGAGATGGGAGAGTCTCCTCAAACTACGATGAATTTCATGGAATTCCTCATAGTTGACAGCCGGTCGACTTACCACAGAGTTTTGGGCAGACCGGCCCTAAAGGAATTGGGAGCAGTCACCTCCATCCACCACCTATGCATGAAATTCCCAACAGAAAATGGGGTGACAACGGTGAGAGGTGACCAGAGAGGCTCGAGAGAGTGCTATCTAAGCTCCATTAAGAAGGTAGAGCCCCGGGACGTCCACGTGATCATGGCTGATGTGGTCATGGCGGATGTCCCAGGTGACACTCCTACTAACCAGGAAGATGTTGATATGATTGACGCACCGCTTAATCAGGAGGTGCTGATCGTTGATGAGATCGATCCCCGCATAATGGAACATGAGCCTCAAGCATCCCCTGTAGAGGAACTTGAGAGCTTCTCAGCCAATCCCCGAGATCCGTCTAAGGTGTTGAAAGTAGGCAGAGGCCTATCCAACATTTTGAGAGAAAAGATTAAGGACTTCCTAGGCAAGAACCTTGACGTCTTTGCTTGGAGGCATGAGGACATGGTGGGCATAGACCCCAAGATCAGCTGCCAACACTTGAAAATTGATCCTAATGTTGCCCCGCATAGACAAAAAAGGAGAGTCCTCAACCCTGAGAGGTATGAGGCCCTAAAGGAAGAGGTTCAGAAGCTCATACAAAATGGCTTCATCAGGGAGGCCACCTATCCGAGGTGGGTCTCCAACCCGGTCTTGGTTAAGAAACACAATGGCAAATGGAGGGTATGCATCGACTTTACCAACCTCAATAGAGCTTGCCCGAAAGATAGCTTTCCGTTTCCAAGGATTGACCAATTGGTGGACTCCACGGCTGGGCACGAGC